TCATCATCATCACCTCTTACTTTATAATTGCCTTTCCGAATCTGATGCTTAACTCCGCAGTAAAAGGACACTTAACATATTGTTGCAGAGACTGCCTGGCGCTGTGCTTTCTGAACAGTGGCACCAGCTTCATGGCAGGCTTTGCGATTTTCTCCATCCTGGGTTTCATGGCTTATGAGCAAAATGTTCCCATTTCAGAAGTGGCAGAATCTGGTGAGGCCTGATATCAAGCAAAATAGCAGTAATCCCATAGTGACACTAATTTGTTTTGATACTTAGGTTGGTTTGTGGTTGTTCAATTTAAGTTGTTTGTTTTGTCTCTGCACAGGCCCTGGCCTGGCATTCATAGCTTACCCTCGTGCTGTGTCCATGATGCCCTTGTCTCCCTTGTGGGCGGCCCTCTTCTTCATCATGATTGTTTTTCTAGGGCTGGACAGTCAGGTACAAAGCTATGCACCATTTTCAGATAACACGCTCCGCCACTTGGATGTTTTTTCTTTTTCATGATTGCTTTAGTGATGATCGCATTCCTATTAATGACTTTTCCCCTCTCCTACATCAGTTTGTGTGCGTGGAGAGCCTTGTGACGGCCATCGTCGACATGTACCCAGCCGTGTTCCGTCGAAAGTACCGCCGGGAGCTCTTCCTGTTAGGCGTGGTCCTGGTCTCCTTCCTCATGGGCCTCGTCATGCTTATGGAGGTAGGTGTCACACTCTGGGACTATAAACACACAGATTCACACAGCCAAAGATCAACAAGTACAGAAGTAAAATTGGCCTGTAGTGTGTAGTAAATGATTTCATACGAGTGTCTTTAAATTATTCTTTTTTTTTTAAAGCTGTGGTGTCATCCCTTGTTTCCTAACAGGAATGAATGCCTTTAGCAGCAGTTTGCTTGATCATGTGATGTTAAAGCTGTTGTCTCTCAACACATACTCTTAACAAATTGGGCAGTTGCTGGGGTGGAGGGATTGCGGCTGGTGGTGGGATGCTTTGTTCTGATTAAATAAACTCTTACTAGAATCCAACGTAGTTGACGTGGTTTCACCTCTGCACAGCTGGAAGCATGAATGCTCTGTAGAGGTGTCAACAAGTCCTCAGTTTGTAAGTACAAGCGCGTCAATGGTTTTGTGCGACCCTTCTCAGGTAAGTGACAAGCATTGTTATGCAATGCTCCCAATTTTAGGATGAGGGCTGAAATAGTCAACTTTTGGGCTTCAAGGTTTCAGGGTCTTTGTATAATAACAGCACTATACTATATAACAGTATTTTACTGTACAGTTTTCAAGCTACCATTCATTTTTAGATAAAGGAGACCTATTATGCTCATTTCCAGGTCTCTGTTTTTATTTTTGGATCTTATTAGAATAGTTTTGCAATAAGCCATCCTAACCTTAAACCCTTTAAACCAGCTTTCTTCTGATTGGCTGCCCCTTGTAAAAAGACAAAAACAAAGGGGTTCTGCAGGTGTGTGCAGCAAAAGCTATGTGTCTAAGATTACCATATTAGGGATATCTCCTTTCAGTGACATCATACGGAGCCAAGAGTATAAAAAACTGTCTAAAACTGTAACTGTAAGCTATATTTGTATGATTATACCTCTTTGGTTTGTATCTGTTTAGGGGGGCATGTATGTCTTTCAGCTCTTTGATTACTACGCAGCCAGCGGCATGTGTCTTCTCTTCATGTCCATCTTTGAGACAGTTTGCATTGCGTGGGTTTACGGTAAGCAAACAGAACTGCATGTAAGATTACAGCACAAGCTTTGACGAGTAATTCTGAGTGTTCACCCAAGTTACTGGCAGAAACCCAGCTGGGAGTTTTACACTGTGTCACGATGAGATGTGTCTAAATCGTGTTTTTCCAGGCGCTGATCGCTTTTATGATAACATTGAGGATATGATTGGTTACCGGCCAGGACCGTATATCAAGTGCTGTTGGTTGTTCTTCTCCCCTGCCACGTGCATTGTGAGTCTCAGTAAAGTAGATAAACTTCCAAAAATGACAATAAATGTTCTATTAGTGAAAAAAAAAGAGGAAATAAAGCAGGTTGATCCTCACTAGTTGCCGTACCCTGTTACCTTGTCTCTGCAGGGCACCTTTGCATTCTCCCTCATTAAATACACTCCTCTGAAGTACAACAATGAGTATGTGTACCCGTGGTGGGGATATGTGATCGGCTGGCTGCTTGCTCTCTCCTCCATGGTCTGCATTCCACTTTGGATGGTGTATAAGATCAGCACCACCCAGGGGACACTCAGAGAGGTATGCTGGTCATCCTGTCAGAGGAAAACATTTGTGCCCAACTGACGTGTTCCTGATTTTAATCTTTGTTTGCTCGTTCACAGCGCATCCAGTTGCTCATCAGACCATCTGACGACTTACCTAAAACCAAGAGGGAGCAGGAGAGGTTACTGGCTATCTTTGCTCCAGAGGTAGACACCACCAAGACTACAAATGGCTACTTCCCCGTCTCTGAGGCGGACTCCAACTTGTGAGGCTTCAGTGGTCTGTGGGATCCACTTACTTTAAAACATAACATACACGGTGGACTCAGGCGAAAGTAGTGGGTTGACGATTTTTGAGTGATAAATTAAGGCAGAAGAAATTAAAAAAGTATCCTGACATTTGAATTAAGAATTTTCAGAGTGGAAAGGAGTGTTTTTCAGGGACAAAAGTAATTTAGACAAACTTGTTCTTGAGTCTGTGAATCCATCGGTAAAGTTTATAAGTAACCCAATAAAAGCAAAGTCACGGGAGGAACAGGTGAATCATTGGATGTTCACACCTAACACTTAGAGAGCAACTTGTTAATGCTCCTTTATGTATCTGACAACACTGCATGGCTGTTTTGTCATATTTGTATCATATTGTTATGTTGTGATAAATAACTGCAGAGGTTTTCCTTTTGTATTTAGGGAAAATTAGATTATGCTTAACAGTAGACATAATAGGATGCAGAATAAATACATGGAAATGCAGAATACTGATATGGACTAATATGGCATATTAACTGTAGTTTCATTTTTTGTACTGTAACGTATAATGACTGTACAAAGAAACATTACTGTTGTAAGTGCGGATTAAAAAATCTTTGTATGTTGTCCTGAACCATTTTGCCTTTGCTCTCCGAAGGGGAACTTCCTAAGTCTGAAAAAATAATCCAAATTCGGGGACTTGGATGTTAAGCATGGCAGCTTTAAAGGGAAGGGGGGGGGGGGAGTCGCATAGAGCCTTTTTCACAGCAGCCATTGTTCTTTTCTGCTTAGGCACAGACCTTTAACTAATGTGATCAGTAACGCCTGTGTTTACCTGCTATTTAAATGGAAACTCTGGTGGATTAAACACACTATTATGTTACTCAGGTTTACACCTATGGCACCTCATTCCTTGTGTACACTGGCTTGTAATACAACTGGATTTAAAACAGGTTGGTGCTTGTAGGTGAACACTTGTGACAATTGCACTAAAGGAGAGCAAACTCCTACTTCAAAGCTCACTTAAATGCTTGCTTGGTTCATTTCTCTAAAACATGTTGTTCAAGTTGGAACCTGCAGCAAAACACCACTTTGTCAGGTTTGAACAACAGACTGTATGTAAACGTAGGATGTAGTTAAAGCTGAAAAAGTGAAGCCACTGTGAAAGTGCCTTACAGCTACACTGGTTTTCATAGCTAGCAAGAGGAAGCAATAGTCACTGCTGAATACAACACGTAGTTCATTTTGAAAATTACGCTATTTTCAATTATGCTGTATAATAAGTTTTCAGTGTCTGTTGTCTGGTTTAACAAAACTTGATGGTTATGAGTTGAGTAACACCAAAGGTACATTCCAATCCAAACACTTGTGTACAATCTTTATATTAGAAAATGAATAAATACAAATGAATACATTTGGCTGATACAAAGGGACATGTCACATGTGCATATTGGGTTTTGAGAGTCTTCAACTTTAACTTTTTACAAATCCACAAATGCATGCAGCTTTCAAGTGCTAGTGGAAAACTGGAGCATCTGGGCTTCCTGTGTCTTTTGAACATGCCCCTGCTGCTACAAATGTAATTTTAAAAAAGAAAAATCAGTCCATAACTATCAAAAGTCTCCAATTTTATGAAAATGGAGAACAAATCACGAACAAATCACATCAGGATTTTACTGATATGTTTTGGGTTTTTTCATATAGTCATGTTCTATAAAGTGATAAAGTATAACATCTGTGGACTTTGCAAGAGCTTAGCTTGTATAAAGTATTTTATTAAAGGTACCGGTTTAGTTTCAGTTACTTTCCAGAGTTGGATTACTGTTTACAGTTAGTTAAAAAAAAAAAAAAAAAAAAAAAAAAAAAAAAAAAAAAATATATATATATATATATATATATATATATATATAATATATATATATATATATATATATATATATATATATATATTTTTTTTTTTTTTTTTTTTTTTCAGATTCAGCTTTTTCTTTTGTCATTTGTCAGCTTTCCTAATGTACATTTTAAAGATATTCAACTACTTTCCAGCTTTGAAAACTCAAATCACTGAGCTTTCAGCATTCAGACCACATTTTCTTCAGGAACTTCATTCACTTGTTAATTGTTTTCCTTTTCCGGGTGTATGATATGTTATAGTGTGAGGTAACTGGCAGTTTATAAAACTCTGCTTTCACAGTACTTTTCCCAAAATTGCAATATTATAAATGGTTCAACTTTCAGATTCTTTATATTGGCCTCTTTGGTGATTTTCTCTTCTACAGTGTTCACGGAGGGTTAAAAAGTGTCACTTGTATTGTTTCCCCTCATCTTTATTTTTAAAGGCACAGTTTCTTTCTCAGCTGTAAGCCCGTGCATCCACAATGATGGAGCACTTTTGAAACATTTTCTAGAATAATTTTGCCACTGGGTGTCACGCTGCCACGGTGATGATTGGCTGCAGCAGCGGCGTCGCTCTCTACGTGCCTCTATGACGCGCCGCTTTTTTTCCCACCATGCACCGGGGAATGTCTAAGGAAAGATGGCGGAAGGAGGAGCGGCTGATCTGGATACCCAAAGAGGAGAGGTCGCGACACTGTTGAAAACACAACTAAGAAAGGGAGACACTTGGTAAGAATTGACTGTGATCTTTTCAAGGGCACTGCGTGGCTCTGGGCTGGGTCTGCTGAGCCTGTCAACCCCACGGAGGATGTGAAAGCAAAACGGCCGGGCCGTGTTGACAGTGAGCTCCGAGCTAGCTAACGGCTGCCTGTCAGCTTCATGTGTCAGCTTGGCAGGCTAGCGCTGGTTGAGCTCTCGCTAAGACTTAAAACAGTTAAACTAAACTTATATGCTGTATTTTGGTGTTTATATCCTTCACTTCCAAAAAACTGTGTCACATATTTTCTGTGGATGTGTAAGGAAGGCTACATGCCGTTTGAGTGATACAGATAGTTATCAGGCTATCAGCTAATTGGCTAGCTTGCCGATGATCCAAGCGGTTTGCCTGTCAGTGGGTTCATCCCCCGACTTCAGCAGGGCGGAGTCGAAAAAAAAAAAAACACCTGTCAAAATCACAGAGCCAGCTGGCTAGGCTTGTAGCAATCTGAACTCAACACGGCGGCTAAAAGCTACTGTTACAACTGTCAGTCTGTGTAATGTATGCCTCCCAAAACCAGATTTGTTTCGGGTACTCACCACAAGGTAGCCTCAAGGTAACCTGGTTTATAGCCCAATAGTTTAATGCACCCCACCCCACCATCCCTTTTATATAACTCTTGTCTTTCACATCTTGCTTTTAGTAGAGATGTTGTAATCTTGATTGCTTTCTCTGCAGGTACCTAGTGGACAGTCACTGGTTCAAACAGTGGAAGAAATATGTGGGATTTGACAGCTGGGACAAATACCAGATGGGAGACCAGAATGTCTACCCAGGACCGGTTGATAACTCTGGTCTTCTCAAAGGTAAGTCAAGTAATAGTCCATCTCTTTATATCTCTATTTTATCCCTTCTAAAAGTATATGATAAATGTATGGGAAAGCAGTTTTTGGTAGGTTAGCTTCGTGGGCAAGTGACATACACGCACACAAAAACATTGTCTACTAACCAGAGAGTAGCCTTTCTTTGGAGGGGGGTCATAGAAAACTCTCCAGCTCACCTTGTTCTTTGTGTGTTATCAATAGTGTAAGTGTTGACCCACAGAATGTGCTTGTTTAACTGCACGTGTATGACCCTCCCTCCCTCTAGATGGGGATGTGCTCGCCATCAAGGAACACCTCATTGATGAGCTTGACTACATTCTGGTCCCAACAGAAGGCTGGAATAAACTCGTCAGCTGGTATGGACTCACAGAGGGTCAGGAGCCAATCGCGCGCAAGGTAAGGGTTCAGTTATTAGCATAAGATTATGAATGGATTTTTTAACATTTGTTCTGCTGCCAGCTCAGATTGTTTTCTCATATACAGAATCAGAAGGTTTAATGTGCACAGTGACTTGTGTTGGGGTAAAAGGGAGAACATTGTGCTAATAAGGCTGTTTGGGGAAAATCAGACATGCAGCACTTTTGGAAAAGGAACTTTGAACTTGTGTCACTGTTGCTGAACAGTGAATAGTATATGACTATGATGACAGATATTTAACAAAAAGAACTGCAAAGAATAGTTAACCATTACATTCATTTTTGATGTAATTTGGTTGGTCAGGTAGATTTACACAGATTTACTCTGTGTACTCTACACAGAATCTCAGAAGTAATAGTGAAAGACTGGGTGTTTACTTATCACAAAGGAAAAAAAACAGTTGCCTTTCATTCATTTCTTTTATGAATGAAACGCAGTATGTGTGCTTATTTTTTCCATATTAGCATGAGAGTATGTAAGGTTTGCTGGAGTAAAAAAAATGAAGAATGCTTATATGTTTGTGATTACAGTTGAATACTTGTGTGTCATGGCACTTTTGCTATCAAAGCAACTCTTCAAATCTCGCTAGTCATGGCATCATGGCTGCTGGAAGCACTTCCTCTTCCCTCTCCATATCTATCAGTCTGTCTCTTGTCTTCCCCCCCCCCCCCTACATTGACCCTCCTCTTTTGCCATGTATGTCATGTGGCGTATCGGGTAGCTGCAAGGTTTCTATTTTCAGGCAACGTTCTGGATGACTGAAAAGCTACATGGAGCGATCTGCGAGACACAACATGAAGGAGGTTTTCTTCTTCTTTTTACCCTGTTGTTTCTATATTGTCAACTTGAGAGTGGGGATTATGCTGGGGGGAACTGTAGGATTGTAGTCATTGGTGTGACACTGTGGCTCCTTCCGCTTTCCACTTGTGGTTTGATTGCCAACAATGGTGGAGAGCTCCTGCGTCCTTGTTTTCCAAGCGGAGGAATGCCAGCTGAGGTCACACTAAGAGAAGCAGCGCGTAAGCTTTTCAAAGGAGTGCGAGGAGAGGCAAACCAGTATAGGAGAAGCGGCGTGGGTGGCCTAAATGGTTTTGGCTCGGCTTTGATTTGAGAAAATGTGTCAGAGCTTGGTGGTGAGTTGGACGTTGACTGAGCTCACAGATGGGTTGTGCGCTGAGGTGTACTAGCCCACCGAGAGCCTTGAGTAGGGGAGGGTTGTGGTGCTGAGAGAGTCTAAGCTGTGTGTGAAGGACTTTTGCAGTTTAGTAGCGTGAGTGTCTGTGTGCTGGAGGGGCTCAGGGGTGAAATAAATAGGCTGGGACCCCTCAGCTGTTTCCACGAGGTGCTGCTAATTTAGGCACTTCACCCTGACTGTGAAGTATCAGGACTCCAGATGAGTAGAGACCAGCGCAGCAGAACTTAGTGTGCTTTGTTATCCATTTTGTTAAGCATTTTCTAGCACGTTAAACTTAGGAGTTTTCTTTCAGTCTTGCAGGAATTTGATAAACATGAGATAAGGGTTGCATCATGATTATTTTTGCCAGCTTGGTGTCACGGTTTCTTTTTGGGTGCCTAAACTTCTGTCAAAGGTAAGCTCAGCCATGATAACAATTGGACAAACATCATACAGTCAAAGGCTTCTGCTGGCATGACTGAGCCAAGCTTGCATCTATGTTGGAATCTTAAACATTTAGTTTTTCATGTTTTACTTCTGTCTGTTCAGCCTGACTTGTTACTGTTGTCTGTGGTGTAATGTAGTGCTACATTCCTGTTGGCTGATTAGTGGACGGTTAGATTGTGAGATTTTTACACAGTTAAATTTTATGTTCCGTTGTAAGTGCAAACGTTAGACTTCTCTAAGGCAATCATTTCTGAGTTATCTACACGGTTCTTTTACATTGATCTTTTTGTGTGGGACAGCCCAAAACCATACAGGGTTACTCATGAATTAGGCCCGTGTCCCTCATTCTTTGCGTAGTAATTTAACATTAGATAATCATGGTTTAAAGCAGTAAATTGATAATCATCCTCTTTTTGCAGGTGGTTGAACAGGGTATGTTTGTGAAGCACTGCAAGGTAGAAGTGTACCTGACCGAGCTGAAGCTCTGTGAAGACAGCAATATGGACAATGTGATCACCAAACGCTTCAGTAAAGCTGACACAATAGGTAGGCACTGCCTAAGCAGTAGTAAGCACTGGTTTCCGCAGAGTTCCAGAGTTCCTTGGATCTCAGTTCACATTTCACACTAATTATATATAAATACATTTACTGTTTGTGGTATTTGTGTTTAAATTAATTGTTTTTCCAACTATTGTTGCCACATGATGATTTATTTCCCCTTTTTGCTGCAGGGGAAACAAAGAAATCTTGTACATAAGACTAAGTGTTTTTTTGTTTTGTTGTTGTTTGTTTTTTGTAAGTATTATGCAGTTGTGACACAACAGATACACGCTAGTAAATGCCATATTGTTTGCCAGTGTATGGATACTAGCTATTGTATCCTTGCATTGAAACATGAAGTAAAAACTGTTGTTTTGTTTCTGTTGTTGTTTATAATTCAGCAGGCTGTGCCCCCCAGCCAGAGCTAAAGAAAATAAAATGGAAATGGAATAAATTTTGTGTTTTCAAAATTATTTACTCAAGCGTGATTGACATTTTTGTTTATCGAGTTAGATAACAGTAAAGTGCGAAGATTAGAAATACAGAATTGTGTTTATGTGCATGGTCACCCCACTAATTCTCATTCTGAGCCAGGAAAACATTCTTGGATGCACAAATGATATACAACATAGATCTAAATATATCCTTGGGATTTCAGATATTAGAATCACCTCCTGCGTGCATTCAAACACATGAACTTAACACTCTGCTCATGTTGTTTTTGAATAACTGTGTCCAAGTAAATATTTACTTTATTCTATTGATGTAGATGATGGAGTTGTTGGTTTTTTTTTTTTTTGTTTTTTTTTTTTTGTATGGTTGTTTTATTTCACATTTTGTTTGTGCACATGAGTGTCATGCCTTTTTTTTTTTTTTTTAAACAGCACAGTGTTGACTGCATCTTTTTGCTAATGTGTTTGTAGATATGATTGAGAAGGAAATGAGGAAGCTGTTCAGCATCCCTGATGAGAAGGAGACCAGGCTGTGGAACAGGTACATGAGCAACACCTTTGAGCCTCTCAACAAACCTGACAGCACCATCCAAGATGCCGGCCTCTACCAAGGACAGGTTTGAACTTTTCCACTCTTTTCTCAAATTCTCACTATGTGAGAAGAATTTGGATCTGGAGGGTTCCTTTTTATCAAGAGAGGCAAGATATTTCAGAAAATTGTCAGATGTGTAAGAATATGGCTTGCTCTATAGACCGTCATTCCTGAGCTCAGGAAAAGATGTTTTAGTTCTAGTTTCCGTTGGATATGGTTTCCCTCGTATTGTTTGGCAGATACGAGTACTTTTTCAGGTCATATCAGAAAACTTGTCTTTTCTTGATCTACTTGGAATCTGCATCCAAGAGGTTATTTTTGTTGATCCATCCATTCTTTTTGTCTCTGCTCCTCCTATCTAAAATTAAAATAAACAGCTATTGCAGATAATGGAAAACCACAAGATTGTGTTGTTTAGCCTTTTTCTAGCTGTTGCAAGAAAAAGGCCTGTAAGTTAGAACACTTGAACTCCTGAAATTAAGATTCAACTTTAAAGACCTTATAGTAAAGCTAGTTTGAGGCCGGCTCATGAACTAGAATTTTCGCGCATAGAACCTGACATCAAACTGACTGCGGACTTTACATATTTATTAATTTAAACATGTGGCTGCAGTGACTCAGCAGGCATCACTGGGTTGTCCTACTTACCTGCTGCTGCTACAATCACGTTAACCCAGTAATGGTATTCAGTGTTTCCCACTGATAGGCAGGACTTGGAGAGGCTGGACAGGTAGAATAAGAGTATGCTTGGAGACTCAAGTATTTCACAGTTTTTATATAAGAGTGATGTTATCTGCAGTCATGTCACCAGTTATTTTGAAATTGTCCTGGATTGAATCTGGTAACAGCAGTCACTGTTCTGCTGTTTTTGAAAGCCTCTTTAATTAAAACCTGCACCAAGTGAAGAACTGCTTTATTTGTTGCTACAGTAAACTCATCAACGCTGCAGAACAAAACAAGGACCTCCGTTGACAACTTGGGTCATGACGCCAGAGTTGGAAGTCCGTCTGTGGGACAAACCTGGTGACATTTCTCTACATATTTAGAGGCACCTTGTCTACAATATCTTTTACTTTTTTCTAAAGTGTGGGTGTGCCTTCTTCTGCATAGTCATGACCTTACACACCAGTACTCCACCCTGCTGCCACAAATGGATTCTAAAGCTGTCACATATAAAATATAATAGCTACTTTCAGCCAATGCTTTGTCACAAGGATTCACCACAGGGGTAGCTCCACGTATTCCATTGGGGAGAATTTTATGGTAAATGGCCTGCATTTGTATAGCGCTTTTCTAGTCCCTAAGGACCCCAAAGCGCTTCACACTACATTCAGTCATATACACATTCGCACACTGGTGATGGCAGCTACATTGTAGCCACAGCTGCCCTGGGGCGCACTGACAGAGGTGAGGCTGCCGGACACTGGCGCCACCGGGCCCTCTGACCACCACCAGTAGGCAAACATGGGATAGCTTGCCCAAGAATATTTGGCATGCAGCCAGGAGGCAGCCTGGGATCGAACCACTGACCTTCTGGTTAATGGCTGACCTGCTCTGCCACCTGAGCTACAGCCACTCCGAATGACGCTAAAGGGATTTGTGTGAGATCAAATCGGGGATCTTTGACTTGTTGGGAAGATAAATTCAGATAAAGCAAGCCAATAACACTTGGACACAGAGTAGAATTTCAAATGTCTGGTGTGTTTAAAGTAGTGGAAGCAGATGGATCCCTCTTTTCTTTCTGCCTTCTCCCGCAGGTTCTCGTAATAGAGCAGAAGAGCGAGGATGGCACATGGCCCCGAGGCTCCACGGCACCCAAGTGAGTGAATGACACACTGCCTGGCTTACATTTCTTTGGCTCTAATGAGTTGTACCACAGTAATGGAATCAGATTCCTACTTTGTACTCTAACAATACTGTCACTTTACTAAAAGCTACACGTAAGCAAAGTATTATTGAATGGCAGATAACTTGTATGTAGTCAGTTTGAAGAAAAACAGTAATGTGATGTGACACCACATCAGATTTCCTGCTGTGGGGATCTCTCCCATCGATCTTGCCATTATCTTCCTCTCTAGAAAACCTGCAGAATTAAAAGTGTATTGGTTTTAAAGTTTCCCTGCCACATCACTGCAGCGCTGCATCATCGTCAAAGATTTCCGCCCCTTGTGACTTTGCCTGAGTTTCCTTCTTTTTTTGCTCGACCTTTTGTTGCTGACATATAGGGATGGGTATCGTTTAGGTTTTATCCGATACCGGTGCCAAATCGGTACTTTTGAAACGGTGCCGGTGCTCAAACCGGTGCTTAAAGAATGGAGAACACAAAATTGGTCCAAAAACCTCATGTTCAGCTGGTTTTTGTAAAAAGATAACAATGTTAGCCTTTTCTGCAGCTATGGGGCATATATGATATCACTCTTGGCTGGAAGCAGTGCTTAAACAATGGAAAAACCACAAACTTTATCCAAAAACCTCTCATGTTTAGCCGTTTCCCTCTTTTTCTTTGGTCATTTTAGCCTTTTTGGCCAGGGTGAAGGGAGTATCTGCCATCAAACAAGAAGACAGCCGCATGTAGCTATGATGATGTTTGCTAGTTCACCTTACCTGCATTAATGTAATAACGTGGTTAGCCTACTCAACGTAAATTACACACGAACAACATTAAGCTACTCACGCAGAGAAGAACGGCTGCTGCTGCATCATCATCCTCATCATTTCTGCTACACTGGCAGGGCTAGGGGCCAGGACTCTCCTCTTCGTGTTTTGGGGATGTTGCTAACTCCGGGTCTGATAACAGGCACCACACCCGCAGTAGATGCGCTCGGTGTGAGGTCTCGCAGCAAGCTATCAAATACAGCGCATTTCTTGGCTTAAAAAAAAAAAAATGCTATGCGTCGCCAGGTGTTTCATCGGATTCGAGGTGTTACCTCCTTTGACAGTATCACAGTATCAGCTTAAAGCACTTGTTGCAGGCTGCTGAGTTTGCATAATTTGCTGTGAAGTACAGCCAGACTTTTGACCGCTTCGCCTTGGGCATTTTTAATCTGTAGCTTATGGAATCAGAACGATGCCACCTTGAAACGAAACCGAAAAAAATATTGAAACTGAAAAAATATATTGTAACTGAAATAAATGTACTGAAAAATCTTGTATTGAAACCGAAAAAAAATTGATAGTGAAAAACAATTAATTGAAACTGTAATTTTTTTGTTTTCGCTTATAATTTTTTTTTTCAGTTTCAAACCATTTTTTTCAGTTTCAAACCATTTTTTTTCGGTTTCAAACCATTTTTTTTCGGTTTCAATCTGTTGGCACTGTTTTGGCGACCGGGGGCGCGGATTCCGGCCCGCATGTATTTGCTATATAGAGGTCACTAGTGCTGACCAAGCTGCCATCTTTCTCTCTTCCCGTCTTTCAATGGCTGCTTCAATTTCAGCTTGACCCTCCAAACCGCAAGTAAGTAATCATTTTTTGTCATCTTTCCTTGCTGTCCCATTGGACTGGACATTAGTTTAGTTTTTTTTTAGCTACATCTGGTGTGGTAAAATGCTGGTATTAGCCTATTCGTCGTAGCAAGCTAGCCTGAAGCTAATATTTGCTAAATTTAGGGACACCCGTGTCTCTGTAGGAGTTGGAGGCCGGTGTTTTAGGAACAGCACAAGATCTCATCAACAGGCAGTGTTGGGCAGTAACGTAATACATGCACCGGAGTTACGTATTTAAAATACAAAATATGAGTAAATGTATCTGTTACAGTTACCGTTCAATAGGTGATATTGAGAATACAGTTAGTTTGTTGAAATAAGTGGATTACATGGCGGTATTTTCCTGTTTCATATGTTAGGCAATGGTCTCTCAATTTTTGGTAATTCCACGCCGGTGGAAACCCAAACAAAACGCGCAATAAGAGCCTCTAAAAATTATTATACAAAAATGATTTAATATGAAGGCAATAGCAGTGTTACAGGCATCGCCCTAAACAATGTAGCCTCATGGGCAGTGTAGTCTGTGCTGCAGGGAGAATGGACTGCCATACCCGTTATGTGTCTGTGAGCGAGGGAGGGAGAGAAAGGAAAAGTACGAGCTGCCACGGAGCAGAAACGGGAGCTGGAAGCATGTAAACATAATAACCACTGCAGCCAAAAAGAGTGCCTGACAAGCCCAGCTGTAAGTAAGCTATTAAGACTCGACTGTACACTGTGTTCGTGTTTTCCTCTGAAACAATAAGCTCCATTGGAGCAGCCTTTCAACGCCTCTCTCTGTCTCTCGCAAGCAGAGTTGACCCAGACAACAAAGTAAAGCTAGTTTTCAGCTACGAGGCCGACGTATTAGCCAGAGGTCCCTTTACTACAGTTCGGAGCCGCGGACCTGTTTTATATACGCGTGGGATAGTTTTCTATACGAGATCACAGCAAAAAGTGCAGCCTTACCTAATGTCCACCTACTGTTACTCATTTATATTATGATTTTAACATCTACTTGGTATTGGTATGGCGAGTAGCCTTCAGTAATAGTAATAAATCACACAGCAATAGTACATCCATGTAGTTGTAAAGTATTCAGAATACATTACTTCTATAATCTTTGGTGGAATACATTTTAAAATTAACCTTCGCAACACTGTCAACAGGTTAGCACCTCATACCACAGTGCAGCAAAGCAGTCTCATGAGTGCTGGGAAGGACAAGCCCAGAGCCCAAAACAGACAGTCCAGGAGATGACAAGGTTAGTAATTGTATGGTGAAAATTATACTTTGTTATTTTGATTGGCAAAAGAAAAGTAAATACAAAATCTGCTTCTCACATATAGGGCATTTCCAAGATTTTTTTTTTTCTTCAAAACTTCTTCAATTTCTTTCATTACAGCTGTCCTGTGCCAGATGTTCTGTTGACCCACAGTGAGAGGCATCATTTCATAAACACCAGGAAGACTGAAACTCATCGCCGGGATCAAGCAGGGCTCGTGATCTTCACCAGCAGCTCCCTCACAAGAAGGATGAACCCAGCATTTCATGAACACTGATGGAGACCTTTGCTTTGTGTAATGTTAGAAGTACTCAGATAATCCTCAGAGGAATATCTTTAAGTCCTGTAGAAAGTTAAATATATGTTGTGCTCTCTGGTTACTCTGGTATGAATGACTCTGAATTACTTTATGATAAATAACACACTATTGTCAAAAAACAGTGAAAGAATTCCAGATCACAAGTTTTTAGTTCAAATACAAGTAACAACCTTTGACTTTAATCAGGTTTTATTTAATTGTGTCAGAGAAAACATCATGTGCTCTTCATGTAGCTGAGTACATTCAGTGTTTAAAACAGAAGTTGTGCAGGTCTGAGATCAGCAGTTTTCTGAAACACCAAACTGAGGTACTGTTAATGCTGATGTATAGTGACACAGTTACAGGGGTGATTAATCCTTTTGTCTTTAAATTTATCAATAAAACAGCTGCAGCTTTCACTGACAGCACATGTGGTACTTTAACCTTTGTACTGTTTTCTTCAGTTAATTTTGGAGTTACTACAAAGATTGAAGCTATAGGATGATCTGTCTGCTGTCACTGGGTGGTGCTGAGGTCTGAATCTGAGGACGGCTCCTGTAATCACAAACAGAACAGAATCATCACAAACTGAAATATAAAGTTTATCTCTCAAATCTGAAAGAGCTGATCCTTCTCTGTCCTCACACACTCGGAATCTGAAGTTGTTCAGTCCTACAGTTCTGCCAACAGCTGTTTATTTTTTAGTTGTTTTAAAGGCCTTATATACTAACACATTTTCTAATATCATGTTTACCTTTGAGTTGTTGATGCTTTATAAATGGACATCTGCAAAGATGAGATGATGGAGCAGGTTTCAGTCGAGGTTCAGTCTGCTGCTGCATCCTGGTCACAACATACAGAGGTGTTATCAGCTCAGTATTGAACAAGAAATATTAATGTTTCAAATTATTTGTCCTAAAGGACGCAAGCTGTACAGAGTATTGCACATGTGACTTTGTGAACATAATTCATTAAAAATAATTCGGACAGTTTTTTAACCTGAATATTTGTAACAAACTAAAAAAAAAAAAAAAGCTAAAAAAATAATCAGAGGAAAAATGTAACATTTTAACTTAAGCTGACAAGCGGAAGTAGTTGGTTTCAGTACATAAGTATCGGGCTTTGCTATTTAATCCGTAGCTATTGACTAATGAGGGGTTACTGAAGTGCCAGGTTTTTAAAATTGGCGTTAATGTCGTTCCACAAGTGGAAAGCGACAGAAAACATGCTGCTGTTTGCACATATTTAATAATCAGCTCTGCACAGAAGCAGAGTCCAGCCTGTTGCTCTTACAGTATAATACTCATAATAAAAGTACAGTAACCGTGGTTAGTCACCGAGCAGCCCGGTGCGTTTCTCTTGATTTCTTTAGTCAGGGTAAATTCATTCACCTGCACGGGTTAGCTAAACGAACTTTACAAAACAAGTTTCCCCAACAGCCGAGTGCTCATCTTAGCTAGCTAGTTCCTTAGCTGGCTAGGTAGCTAGCTAAGGACCTAAATTACGGATTAGCTTACAAACACATTTAACTTACCAAAAATAATGCTGTGGGGCCTCAGGTCCTCCTGTCCGGTAGTCCAATTTACTGAAGAACACCTCAGGCTGTCACTTTGAAATAGTCTGTAATGTAAACCTGAACCTCTCAGCATCTGCCATTTCCGAACAGACACGTGCAACTTTGTCCGTGACCGCAGCCGCGTCGTCAGTGTTTTCTCCAGTCATTGGTCAGCATTATAATATATGCAAATACATGCGGGTCGGAATCCCCGCCCCTCAGCGCGCCCCCGGACGCCAAACCAGTGCCAGCAGAGTGAAACTGAAATATGGATTGAAACTGAAAAAAAAAATTGTAAGCGAAAACAAAAAAATTGCAGTTTCAATTAATTGTTTTTCACTATCAATTTTTTTTTCGGTTTCAATACAAGATTTTTCAGTACATTTATTTCAGTTACAATATTTTTTTTTCGGTTTCAATATTTTTTTCGGTTTCGTTTCAAGTTGGCATCGTTCTGATTCCATAGTAGCTCTGCTCTAAAAGAACGTACATACCTGGACCCGCCTACTATCCTCGGAAACGTAAAATGATTGGCTAGAAGTGTATCACAGCTCAGGAAAAAAAAGCACCGAAATAAAGCACCGAAATGTGCGCTGCTTTTCGTTCTGGTTACTACCGTTTATGTCAGAACGGCACCGGACACCGGTACCCATCCCTACTGACATATCACTCCGTTTATTTTGTTTCATCGCTGTTTAATTTGATCGGCACTCAGCTTTCTGGAACAGCTCCTTATTTTCCACTCTAATTCATGATCTATTCTTTATCTTTTGAAGGTCATCTGGTGCTTCCAATCTCTCTGCTTTGCCAAAGATCTCGCCTTCATCTCTCACAAACAATCATAACAGCAGCTTCAACAGCAGGAAGTAAGGCATAGTTGTGGGTTGAATAGCAGAGGGGTGGGTTTGGATGGGAACAGCCAGAGATGGAGCCTGATGTGCAGCCTGGAGTTCAGGACAGAACTTCACGCTGAAGTCGCCAGAATGCTGGAAGGAATTGGCTTAAAAATTTGTTGCTTTTAACTTATGTAAACTTTTTCTTGACTCTTTTATCAGTTCTGTTTAGACTCATTCCATAATTCCATTACTGAAGCTGTTTGTAGCTTCTCACTATGAAATTCATCTAACTCTGTTTTGTACAGGTCTATCTCTGGTTGTAATTTGGGTGTTCTAAATCTCCTGATGATGCATTTTCAGCTGTAAGAGCTGATAGAAAAGAGGGGGGAAGGGCGCTTGCGTTGGACTGATCTCTTAGAATTTCTTCAGTGACAGTAGACTCTCTTTCTATTAACAACAAAGCCTCTGGGTGCCTTACTCAGCTTCTGATTATATTACTCAAATTTGCAAATCTATTTTCCAATTGATGATGGCACTGGCTAGCTGTGGTTGCATGATTTGGGCTAATGTGGTGGTTATTTCATCTAGCAACATTCCACGAGGTTTTGCTTCTGTATGTTATTTGATTTAACACCAGACTACATCTAAATATGTCTTTCAGGAAAATTAAAAACTTAAACCTTGAACATTTGTTTAAATACAACACGACAGCATGCTGTCAGTCAGTTACTTTCAAGTTCATGTTCCTAGTAGATTAGCTGGTAATGTCAGAGGATTTTTCTCCTGTTCCCACATAATGTACAAGACCATAAAGTTTCCAGTAGGAATAACTGACTCTAGGGTTCAGTGATTGATAAGATTTATAAATCTGTAATGCAGGCTAGACTTCCTAATTTAAATGTCTTTCTAATACCTGCAGCCTCTTTGTGGCTGATAGTCCTGAGGGGAGTCTGCATGTGGCCTCTTATTAAAACTATGCCCATATCCACAAACTTCACAGAGACTTGGACAGAATCTTTGCATTTGTTTGCTAAAACTGACATGACTGCTCATTTCATCAGTCTTCATTTCCTGAAGCATAGACCGCAGTTGCCAAAAACTGTCTGACTCATCAGGCAATTGAATTTGGGTGGAATCTGCTTTTTCATAACTTTGGATCTTCCTTTCTGCATTTAGTTAAAAAAAAAATCAAAATAAATAAATAACATAAGTCAGCTTGCAATGCCATTGTAGCTAACCTGGGAAATGGCGCCAGAAATACTACTATGTTAAGCTGATTATGCTACAGCTACAGGGTACTACTGCCTGGTGGCTGTAGAATAATTAGCACTCCACCCTCCACATGCCAGGAGCATTGTCTTGTCATACCCATTCAAGCCAACCTGTAACTGAATGATTAGCTGTGCTAATGTTAGCCAAACAGAGCAGTTTCTTACATTTAGACTAGCCTTGTACCCTAAATTTAAATTCCAGCATATACTGCCCTCTTAAGGCTTTTTTTTTTTTTTTTTTTTTTGTGTAATGCTCTGCAATCTGTGACGGCAGTTTAACAGAAAGCAGTTTCTGTGCTTTTGACACAATGGAAAATTATAGTCTTGTTTTCTTTGTGTCCCAGTGTAAAATGCAACTTGGTTAACAAGTGAATGCATTACTCTCCAAAAAGAAATTCAGTTTATGCCCAGTCATGCAGCTCTACTGCTAGCCTACGTGTTGAGAATATTGAACTCTTGCCTAAATATATTGTTTGTTGTGTATTGTTTGACCCAGAGGCTCTCTCAGCCATGTCCAAAAGATACACATACACTCTGTGGGTGGAGCTTACTGCCTTTGCTGTCCAGTGGACACTGTTCACTGTTCCCTCCCTTCATGTAATGCGTGTGATTTACTGCATGCTGGAGTGTGTGTGTGTGTGTGTGTGTGTGTGTGTGTGTGCCTGCGTGTGGTATATAATAGACATTGTGCATCACATTTCTCAGTACTGTTGAAATGCAGAAATGGTAGTCACAGGCTTGGCCACCTTAAAAATCAATATTGACAAAGAATGAAGGTGTTAAAATCAACTGAGCCTTTCTTTGAATTCGTAAAAGTATCACAATCATAAAATACTTTCTCAGACATTTTTTCAGCTCGCACGTCTGACTTGTACTTGAAGCATAGTTGCACATTTTTGCCACAGCCGATGCATCTTTTTCTGCACAGTCGATGGATTGTTGAATGCACAGAGTGGGTGACTTGGGGAAATTGGATCTTTACTCTCAGCAGCTCTCCTGTCCCTGATTCACTCTGGTAGCAGCGCTGTCATTTCTTTTCTCTCTGAATTATACATAGGGATTTTTTTTTTTTTAATTAATTTTTCCCCTTTCATATGAAGTGTTCCCATATTACATAACCCTTGTCTTTTTGATTCTGTGGTTTCGGCCTGGTCGGTTTAGCCTCAGCAAGTGATGCTCTGCAACTGCATTAAGTGTCACCGTCCTGCGAGGTAGCGTCCCCTGATTCTGGCAGCCAGTCTCTGCTCCTCTCACACGCTCACTCTCTCCCTCTGTGTCTTTTGATCCCTTTACCTCTCCTTTCCTCCGAGCTCATTGCGATGCACATGTTCTGCAGTCTGAGTGACCTTCAGAATACGTTTCATCTGTTCCCACTTCTCACCTTCTCATCGCCTGCCTGTACACACATACTGCCCCTGATGATTAAAAAACCACTTCTTTCTCTGGGTTGGAGTTTATTTATTTAGATCATCCCCTTTCAAACCTCTCATGGAGACAGCCATGACATATTAAAGAGGATGAAAGAAGGGTGTGTCAAAGTGTGATTTACTTAGTCCAGAGTGTCAGAGGTTGTGTTTTACCAGCAAAAGAAGGAAAAAAAGAGCAGGAATTTGTGCTAGTGTGCAGAGTAAAGTGAGAACAGTGATATATGCATGCTAGTGTGAGAAAATGGGATAAATTACGTGCTGGCATGATTGTGTTAATGTGTCTTTGTATGTATGTCTCGACTCCTCTCTGTAAATGTGAGTTGGTCCTGTGAATACTGCAGCCTCAGCTGGATGCAGTGGATCAGCTGCTTCCTCCATCCCCATCTCATTTCTCTTCTGTCATCCTCTCCCCCCTTGTACTGTCCGCCCCTCCCCCCCATTCTCTTTGCTTCTCCCGCCCTCCCTCTTTCTCTGTGCACCTCTACCTCCAGCAGCAGCAGTCTTGAGCATCCTTGCTGCTGCTGCTGCTGTTGCTGCTGCTATAAATATCTGCTGGTAGCCGTAGAGCAGCAGAGAGCAGCAGGCAGGCCAGAGGGAGGAGCAGAGGACAGGACGGCATAGGACGGGGGGGGGGAAACGAATTGAAGCAGAGAGGATAACGAGATGACAGGCGATTGAGCCCGAACAAGAAGACTGGGAGAAATGAGGAGAGGGGAGCTGACCAGTTAACTCTAAGACAGACCAGAATGTGTGCTTTCGTGTGCATTGAATTGTACAGTTTTAAAGGTTGGCCTGTGCTGGACTTGGAATCAGATTCAGGCCTAAACTTCACCTGGACTATTCAAACTGCTTCTGGAGCTGGATTGGCTTGAGCTGAGTTAAGACTAAGACTCAACAGTCAAAACTGGAGCCGGACCGTCCTTTCTGATCTCAGATACCCAAACTTTTCATACAAGGGACCCAAGAAAACCCCATCGAAGCTGCTGGCTGTCTAGTTTCGTGCGGACATGCAGGCCATCAAGGGCCGGGGTGGGGCTGAGATGTCATGCTCCTGTGTTGCTGGTGGTGCCTGAGGCCTGAGGCGGTGGAGCTGGATGGCAGGAGGGTGGACCACCGAGTGTTGAACTGCGAGGCAACTGCCTCCACCGCCATCGCAGCAGTTTCCCTTGACCAGTGGGAGCCAGAAACGGCCAACGCTGCTTTATCGAGCTCCCAGAGGTCTGCTGATTGCTGCAGCTGGGCAGGCCTATCTTAAGGCTCTTAATAATTGTCTAGGAAGCTGTAAAGAGAGGGGATGAAATAGTGAAGCTGTGTACCTTCTAGTCTTTGTAAAGTTTTGTTGTTTGTTAAAAACTTTAATTTGATTTAGTGTAGATGTTGTCTGTTAGTATTAGATTTCTCTGTTCATCAGTGTTCATGACTTTCCACAAACGACCCTGTTTAATCTCTCAATGTCTGTATGTTGATTGTACAGTGTGAAGAATTCGAGCTATAGTCTACCATCCTACCACCCTTACAGCAACAGTTATGACTACTCGGACCAGAGCAGGCAGAGCGAGCGCTCAGGCTTGTGTGGACTCTCAAACCTGGGCAACACCTGTTTCATGAACTCTGCTGTGCAGGTAATCTTTTCATGGAGCTCTTTAGAGTCTGGAACTATGCTAATTAGCACGCCAATGTTTACTCAAAATTCTACAGAGAAAACTTCAAAAAATAAAAAATCCAGTTAATTTGAAAGATATTTTTCTCTCCTGTTTTTGCGTTTTAGTGTTTAAGCAATACCCCTCCGCTGACGGAGTACTTCCTCAAAGACAAGTACACAGATGAGCTGAATGAGGACAATCCACTGGGCATGAAGGGGGAGATTGCCAAAGCCTACGCGGAGCTTATTAAACAGCTGTGGTCAGGCAAATACAGCTACGTCACCCCGAGGCCTTTCAAGGTAATTCCTTGGAAAAAATATATTAAATGTGTGAAGGAACCTTCATCTTTGAATCTTCACATGTGTTAAAAAACTATTTTTGATCGATGTTGGACAGATGAAGGCTTGCATCAATCTGTAGGAGCTAATAATCTCATGATGGCACTCCCCAATGAAATGCATAAACAGACATGGACATTGTATGGCCGCCGGCCACATCCAGTCCATTGGTAGGCCCTGTGAGGTCGATGGGACATTAAAACATAGTTAAAAAATCATTTTTCTCTCTTTTAGCCACCAAATATTCCCCATAAGAGAATAGCTTATTTTGTGTTTGTTGTTGTTGTTTTTTTGTTTTTGTAGTTTGTGGGAAATGAAAATTTGTCACTTGCACTTTAATTTGAGTGTTTTATTAAGGTGAGTGTGTTTATCCTGAAATTTTGATGGTGCAAGTAAGCAAATGTGAATATTGATCAATTTCTATGAAAGATTTGAGTTTGCTAGCCTGGAAGCTGTCAACTAACAATTAAAAATATTGATCCAGAGTGAAGAATTTTAAACAACATTCATTTATTTACTGCAATTTGGATTGAGAAATACAAGAATTTGAGTAATGCAGAGTGGGAACAAACAATTGAGTTGATGTACCCTCTGAGAAAAAGAAGTATTTGAGAATGTGCCCCTTTCCAGGTGAATTGTGACAAGATGGATCAAAGACTTTGTAGGAAACCTTGAACTTCAGTTGAAATCACAGCAGACAATTTTGAGTTTTTCTCCTTGGCTCTGGATGAGAGCTGCAACACAAGCGAGTTATTATGTTTGTAAGTGAGATAACGAAAGACTTTGAGCTGGCAGCAGTGCACTTAGTGAAAGAGACAGACAGGGAGGGATTTGTTCACTGTCGAAATTTGACAAGGACAAATGTCAGATTTAAGTTAAAGTGATTGAAAGTGGTACTTCTGCATTGTGTTAAACACCAGGAGCTGTCGTGTAAGCCAGTGCTGAAAATGAACCATGTTGTTGTTAATTAAAATAGTTTTCTAGTATAAACAGTTTTAATAACTTCATCAGAGTCGCAGACTTTCTACAGATAAGGAGACATGCTCAAAGATGTAAGTTCTCTTTGAATTGAAGTTTATCGAAATTGAAATTTGACAAAGTTTAACATCCAGGTACAGCTCCTCAGTTAGTCACATTTAGACCTCATATACACTAACCCTGACTTTAATGCACTTGTTCAGGCCCAAAACAGACTAGATTTTTCTCACTCAGATGAAGTAATTAATCTACAAGCAAAATAGAAACAGCACTTTGTATGAAGTTAAAGGTATTTGAAATTGCTTCTGGGAATGTTGATTTAATAGTGATAAAATATTGGTGTTTTTAACTATGCCTTTTTCATATTTTTATTAGCTAATTGCAACAGCTAGTCTTAATCTTATTGCTGAGCGTATAAAGGTTAAAACCATTTCAGTTTAAGACCTATGGGCTACAGAATAGAGAACATGGACATCTTATATTATTTTGAAAGAAACCGGTTACTCAGTGTGATGTATTATGATGAGGCCGACTTGATTTTGCTCCTCTACCCATGTGTTTTTTCCAAAAAGTATGTTTGTTTTTTTTCTCCCCTCCCCACTCATCCAGACACAGGTGGGCCGCTTTGCTCCCCAGTTCTCGGGCTACCAGCAGCAGGACTCTCATGAGCTTCTGGCTTTCCTTTTGGATGGCCTACATGAGGACTTGAACCGCATCAGAAAGAAGCCCTACATTCAGCTCAAGGATGCAAATGGTCGGCCTGATAAGGTGAGACCAGCGGCTCATGAATGGATTGATAAAAGTAAAAAAAGAAAAAAAAGATTTATTTTATTTATTTAGTTACATTTTATTAAATTTTTGTGTATACCTGTTTTTTGTTTTTGTTTTTTATGCCAGGTTGTGGCAGAGGAGGCGTGGGAGAACCACATTAAGAGAAATGACTCCATTATTGTGGACATCTTCCACGGTCTTTTCAAGTCGACTCTGGTGTGTCCTGTGTGCTCGAAGGTCTCTGTGACCTTTGATCCTTTCTGCTACTTGACCCTGCCACTGCCCATGAAGAAGGAACGGACACTAGAAGTTTATTTAGTCAGACTGGACCCTCTGGCCAAACCCACACAGGTAACAAGCTGAGCACAGAGAGGAAAAAAAATGACTACTGTAAGCAGTATCATGCCATTTCATGTATGAACAGCAGGCAGTAATCATGTTTTTGTTTTTTTTCCCCTCAGTACAAACTAACTGTGCCGAAAGTGGGCTACATTTCTGACCTGTGTACCTCCCTGTCCAACCTGTCAGGCGTGCCTGCTGAAAAGGTAGAATATTTAGCATCAGCCTGCGCAGGAATCCTGCCTCTGTTATCATGTTGTAATGCTGACATCTACTTTTTAATAGACGTTGTCCTCTGAGCTACAGAAGCTAGTGAGGGGAAATGTTGCATATTTTTCAGATAAAGGGAGAGGTGAGGAACAGGGACACAAAGGATAACTAGAGACCAAGGGAACTGGAATTCAATATGTATGAACCTGCTATTATGCTGTTACACTACATGTTGCACAGACAGAATAGCAAAGCTGCCACACTAATCAGTGTGGTCGTTTATTTTCTTGTAGGTCTGTTTTAGGTTATTCATTTTTTTCTCTACATGACTTCTCTCTGTGTGGTTCGTCAAGGTCACAAAGTGAGATAACACGCAAGGGAAATGAGTCAAAATGAGTCAAAAATCACATTGTATTTCCTCCATATAGGCTTAATTAAGCCTGGTCTTTCAGATCCGGGTTGCGTTTACAGCAGTGTATCCTACTGTCACTCAAAGCCTGCGCCATCCTGAAGTACTAGTAAAACAAACCCCAGAAACAGGTCTTTGGAAGTATCCCTAGTTCCTGCAGTGCAGATACAAAAGAAAGGTGCTTTTTTTTTTTTTTTTTTTTTTGCAGAGGTTGAGAGGACTATGAAAGAATTTAAACTATGAAAAAGATCATTTCAAATACAGGCTGGTTAATTAAGTTCTAAAAAGTTTTTTCTCATGATTTGAAGTTATGTTGCCCGTCATCTTAAGCTCGTCTTACCAATCTACTAAATGGCTTTTTAAGATGTGTTGGCAGATTAATTTAATTGCTGGCCATAATTAGGATTCTCAGCACTGACTCTCCCGTCTCTTATCCTTCAGATGATTGTAACTGACATCTATAACCACCGTTTCCACCGGATCTTCGCCACCAATGAAAACCTCAGCAGCATTATGGAGAGAGATGATATTTATGTGTGAGTGTCAGATATGAGCAGCTGACAGACAACACGTCTGCAGATTATGTAGATATAACAAACTGCAGGCATGTGCCATTTTCAAAAACGTAGGTTTTTTGTTTTGTTTTTTTTACGCTAGGATGCTGAGTTTCACTTTTCATTGGTTTGTCGACATCTTGCTTAACCAGCGTGACTCTAAAGGATTCACCACATGTCTCTCTGCAGCTTTGAGGTGGCGGTGAACAGAGTGGAGGACACAGACCACGTAGTGATCCCAGTGCACTTGAGAGAAAAGTACAAGCAGTCAGGATATAACCACACGAGCACGCCGCTGTTTGGACAACCCTTCCTCATCGCTGTCCCCAGAACCCTCAGTGAAGACAAGCTCTACAACATGCTGCTCCAGCGCCTCTGGTAAGTCAGCAAAAATCGACAGGCTCTTTTTGCAGATAATCAATGCTGTGTCGTTTAGAAATAGAAAATAAAAACAAAAACTTGTGCTTGGAATAAAAAGTGGTTTTGTGTTTGCAGTCGGTTTGTGCGATCTTCTGTAGAGGAAGAAGAGGACGACTGTGAAGAGACACAGCCATCTAAACAACACACTGTTAATGGTAATGCCACTAATGGACTGTTGGAGGAGGGGTCACCGAGTAAGTGCACCAACACAGTTTTCTTGTAAAGTTCTGACCTTTTGAAATGCCTTTTTTTTTTTTTTTTTTAAAAGTGTGCTGCTTAGTGTTTGCTGTTAAAAGCTCTACTGCCGTCTTTCAGGTGAGATGGAGACCGATGAGCAGGACGACGAGTCCAGCCAGGATCAGGAGCTGCCCTCTGAAAACGACAACAGCCAGTCGGAGGACTCTGTCGGTGGGGACAATGAGCTTGAGAACGGTGTGGTCGGCCCACAGAATTCCACCAAAGGCCAGCAGACGTCCGGACACAGCAGGAAGAGACTTTTTACATTCCAGTTCAATAACATGGGAAAAACTGACTTCTCACTCATCAAGGAGGACACCAGGCAGATCCGCTTTGACGAGGGACACCTCCGACTTAGTGGTAGGAAGCGGGTTTTACTGTTTTTGTTTTAGCATCATTGCAATGGCAAATAGAAAAGTTGTTTTTTTTTTTGGTTTTCCTCGATCATGTAATCACAGCATTAATCAATAATTGAAGTCATTTTAACTGCTGTAAATATTACAGCATATTTACGTTCTGCCCATCTTTTTACAGACCGCTCTTATCTCTCCTTGGACTGGGAACCAGAAATCAAGAAGAAGTATTTTGACGAGACTGTTGTTGAGGTAAAACTGATGTCGGGAGCTGCGACATTGTCTGTTTTCACCGTGTAACTGTTGTAGTGCAGCAAGACGCTGAGCAGTGTGGAACATAATCATGTTGTGATAACTGCACAGAGAAGAGCAGCAGGAAACCGAGGTGACTATTCCAAATGTCTTCTAATCAAGAGCCCACAGGTTTGAAACTCTAGATCTACTCACTAGATGATGCCGTGAATAAGTGCATCTAAGTGTTAAAGTAATCTGTAAATATTACCTCTTACTCCACGCATTTTAATCTGAGGGAAAGGAACTGAGTAGGGATGGCTACGATAACTTTGTATTAAACAGTGCCAGGGCTAAATTTATTTAACGGTAATTATGTAATGGTATGGACAAGCTCCAGCGCCATCATTTCTGCTCTTGCTACTGGAGAAATGGAAATGGTCTATTTTCTACTTGTTACTCCAAAATCAATCTGGAAAACCAGTGTTTTGGGGCTCACAGTGTAACTGGTGAACACCTGGTCCAAACCTTTCTCTCCTGTTCACTAGTTAATGTTTTTAAATGCAGATTTTATTTATTTATTTTATTTGCTTTTCAGGTTGCATTTGGGTACATTCAAGCTCTGATTCTGCATTTACTTACTGTTTCCCTACATCCAATCAAGCCCTCCTTATATGCTCCTGTCTAAAGAACTTGGACTACAAACTGAAACCAAACTGTTTTCACTGCCAGAAAGAGTCTTATTGTCTGTATGGAGTTAACCTATACTACTAGTAATGATAGTAGAAAGGACACTTCACCAGTCTGTGATGGCACTTTCATGTAAGGGTTCAAACATAACCAATGTGTCTTAACTTTGCACAGTTTGCACAGCTTTTGACAGCCTAGCTTGCAGTTCATCTCTAGTTGCTCCACATATGTGATGGAACCAAGAGTCTACAGATTTACAAGTTGTTGTTTTTGTTGTTGTAATTGTGCTATGTAATTGTAATGTGTTTTAGGATTATGATGATTAGGATTATTAGATAATGGTGTGAAACAGCGTTTATAACAGTTTAATTTATATTACATGTACATTAATTCTTTTTGGTTTTTCTCTTAAAACCTATTATAATATTAATTAATATTATAGTTGAAGTACCTTAAGCAGTACTGTTGAGATTAACAGTTGAGGTCTTGACAACACTTATCTCTAACTGTACTTTTAAACGGCTTCTTTCAAAGTTAAATGTTCTCTTTTGCCACAGATTTTAATTCATGTCATTTCAGACAACTAATTCAGAACTGTTTTACTCTAACAACTATATGCTCGTGTCTCTGGGAGCAGGACTGTGACAAGCACGAGAGCATGGAGTACAAACCTCAAAAAAAGGCTTTCTTCAAGCTGAAGGACTGCATCGAACTGTTCACCACAAAGGAAAAACTGGGGGCAGAGGACCCTTGGTGAGAAGCAGTGAAAACAATTCAAAACACTAGTTGTTGACGTCTGGCTGGTTACAGCACCTAAAAGGTGATGTATCTTCTCACAGGTACTGTCCCAACTGTAAGCAGCACCAGCAGGCCACAAAGAAGCTGGACCTGTGGTCTCTGCCACCAGTGCTGGTGGTCCATCTTAAACGCTTCTCATACAGTCGCTACATGAGGGATAAACTGGACTCACTTGTTGACTTCCCGCTCAGGTAGACACACACACACACACGCACACACATTCACAGGGCACTGCCTTTTTAGCAGTTTATCCAGTGTATGTCCTGCTCATTCTTTTCAAAATCTACAGTGTGTGTATGTGCACACTAACAATATACCCTTGATGAGTTAATGACAAGCTGCTTTGTTGTTGTGTGATAGATGATTGGGGTTGCTGCATAATTTTTTTTTTATGTACCGTAATGTTTTGTAGTCAACTCAAAGTATTTTTTTTTTTGAGGGAGGAAAAAACCCAACAGCAAATGATTGTTTCCCAAAAAGGTAGGACAAACATGGCATGTGCTCAAGGACATCAGTGTTGACACAAGTTGTGTGTATTTCTGCTGTAAGGCAAACAGGTGAATTGTGAGTTTGTCTTTTGACGCTTCAGCTTTCAGTTATTAAAGCGCATAATTTAAATGTTTAATTTGTTGTTTTTCTGAATAAATTTTGCTACACTTTGATTTGTGAGTATTATATTGTGATCGCTATAATACACAAGATGTGAAAATTGGTATCTGAAAATTTAAATAAGTCATATTTTATGAACTTTCCAAAAAACCCTTCAAATTATTTTCAATATTTTGTTTTTAGATGCTTTTTTTGCATATTTAAATCAGTCAGATTTTAATGTTGGTCTGAAACATGTCGGTGTGATAAATATGGGAAAAGGGTAAGAAGAAATGCAGGGTCTGATCCTGATTTACAACACTGTACATGCTACATGTTTCTACCTTCATCACAAACACACCACGCTGAACGTGTGCAATGACGGCTTTTTCGTGTTTGTTCCCAGAGATCTGGACATGTCTGAATTCCTGATCAACCCCAATGCCGGGCCCTGTCGCTACGACCTCATTGCTGTGTCCAACCACTATGGTGGGATGGGAGGGGGCCACTGTAAGACTCAAACTCATGCAATCATGTATCTTTTTTTTTTTTTTTTTAAATTAGGATTTATAATGTTCCCGGATTTAATTTCAACCCCATGAAAGGTCACTGGTAGAAAGTAGAATGTTATTGTGGCCTCTGAGTAACCAGACAGTTTAAATCTGGCTTGTTGTGAATCTGTAAACTGTAGAATGTCTTTTATTAGTTAGTAATGCTGTTAGAAGTCGCAAATTGCTTTATAACATAAGAGCCAAGCAGTGGGAGTATATAAAATGACACACAGAAAGGGAAACATGGTGAAACGGGGCTCTAACTAATGGAAATTTTCATGACTACAGGATTTCCAACAGAAAAATAAATGTAATCAGAGCGGTAACTTGTGTATCTGGGCTCTTTTTGTTAAAATCGATACGTCTCCCACACAGTTTTTGGCATTGCCACGTTTCTACTCTTCAAATCAAAGCTTCAATTTGGTGCATAAACTCTTACAAATTTCCTTTTGAATGACTAGATGATTAATCATTGAGTAATTTCTGCTCTAATTGCTGTGTTTTCCTGTCTTTTAATCTTGTGTTTGTTACTTTTCAGATACTGGTTATGCTAAAAACAAAGACGATGGAAAGTGGTACAACTTTGATGACAGCAGCGTTTCTCCTGCCAGCGAAGATCAAATAGTGGTGAGTGTCCTCATTTGTAAAAGCCACAGACAGCAGGTCCTACTGCATTTTTATTAAAGGCAGACTTGCTGGGCAAAAAAAATTAATTATGTCATCAGAGTAATGCACGTATGTGCACTGTAATGAGGATGAGTTATGTAGTTGCCACACAGCCTGAGTTCTCCAAGGCATCCAACTGTTCTGAGACCCCAAAAGGTTGATTCTGTTTATCTGAATGTAACATTTTCAGTGGTTTCTCCCACTGAAATGCTACGTCCAGATGAACAGAATCAACCTTTTGGGATTTACTTACCTGGATGATTGAGCATGCATCATGACAACTGTGCTGAGATTTCCCAAAAAGTAAGTGTGGGTGTGTGGTACAGAGAGCTCTCTGTTCTGTGGTGGGGAGGATGATTGAAGCCAGACAGGTAAACCCTCACGGAGATGTTTTCGTGCATAGAGAGCGTTTATAAAGGCTTTCACATCTTGGAGGCAAACTGAACTTCAGATGTTCTGGAAGAGATTTAGCGAGCCACCCCAGAGGAGACCAGCTCTTTCTGTAAACAATTTTTGAAAATGGGTAATGGCTTCATACATTTTAACAAAGTATATACGTTTCAGCAGAGGATTTCTTTACAGCAGGACTTCATTTTGCTTTTAAATTCATGTTTGATGGCCAACTGTTGGAGATGTTATGTTCCAGGAAATAACATCTCCAGTAGTGATGATGTTGCAAGCATGAATACTGTATGTATCCTAATCTGAGTTGATGGGATTTAAAGAGATGAGACATAATCTATACAAAAACCAAAGCTAACAGTGTATTAGTCTGTCAGCTTCTGCATCCCCAGCCGCTCATTAAAAACATCGAGAATGTACAGTTGTTCTAATTGTTGTTGTGTTTTGTTTTGTGTTTTTTAAAAGGACTGAATGTAATATTAGGGACTACTTTCAGTAACAGATTAATACCATGGGTTTATATGAAAGATTGCTGTTGTCTGCTGATTTGTGGACTACTGTTCTGCAGACACATTTGACCATGGTCAGTGGTGATTGTGTTAACTTATTAGCCAAGGCTGTTTGGCATGTTCATTTGACAAACTGCACGAGTGTTCACACAGCTACATGCGACAGCTACAGAATAAAATTACTTCTCAGGCATCTGCTAGTGCCGCTAAGTGCATGTGCATGCCACGTTGTTGGCCATATTATTAAATTAAAAATATTGAACATGTAAAACACGGCCACACTGATAAAGATGTGGCACAGCAGATGGTTACATGTATTCAAAGCACACACTTAATAATGGAAACTATATGAATTAGTACAACGTAAAATGGCGAATCCCGTTAAAGGAAAGAAATCCAGACCCTGTACAGCTGTGATGATGCAGAGACAAAAGCAGTTTTATACTAGTCTGTAAGGACTGTGACCTGCTGTTCAAGTGAGCCTCAAGTGGTCATTAAAGGGAACTGCATTTATCTGCACTAAGCATTATCTTCATTTTTTTAGACCTGGATGCTTCCATTGAAAAGAGATTTGGTGGTCTAGTGAATATTTATACAGCCCACTTTTCCAGTTTATAAAAAATCTTTAGTGACTACATTTCTCATTGTTTCTCAAAGGAAAACAAAACGGAAAAGTTGGTAAAAGTCAGTTTTCTAAGGTGAGCCTGACTCCATCATGTCAGTGTAGCTGAGTGACGCTCTTTCCTGTTTTGTTTCCGTCTCTCTCTGTAGTCCAAAGCAGCCTATGTGCTGTTCTACCAGCGCCAGGACACAGTGAAAGGCACCGGCTACTTTGCTCTCGACCGAGAGGAGGAGGAAGAGGAGGAGGAAGATGAAGAAGAGGAAGGGGAGGATGAGGAGGGCGAGGAGAGGAGGGAGAGAAAAACCGCCTTGTCCGCTCAGGGAGGCTTGTCTGCTGCCGCTGCCGCCGCTGTTCAAAGCGACGACGAGGACCCTAATGAGAACCAGTGCAGGAAGAACGACGAAGAGCAGGAAGACGAGGAGGAAGAGGAGGCAGCGGAACAGCCGCCCAATCGAGACGTCGCCATGAAAACCAACTGAGGGAAACGAGGACATGAATATATATAGAGAGAATGGGATCTTTCCATCCAAAGCCATACGGACACACGGCGTGACAGCGGGCGCCACTGGTCCCACCCAGCGGCTCGGACTTAGCTGCTCGACAGGAAGAACCACTGCGGAGACATCAGCTGTTGGGTCAGGGGGCTACAGGGGTACGCAACTCTAAGAAATCAGGGCCCTCCTCTGTGGTTGGATCACTGTGTGTGTTTGTGTGTGTGTGCGTGTGTGGCCACGTTCGTTTGTTTAGAATTTGCTCACTTGCTCTCTGAGAAGAGTCACTAAACAGCCGGGATCTTTGTTTTTTTGTTTTTTTTTTTTTTTACAGCTTTGAATCTCAGTTTTATTATTTTTTTAAAGTACATATCTTTAAGAGGAATGCATTTTTGGCATATCATTTTAGCATCATCGTTTAGATTTTGTAAATATTTTAAACACTGAATTGTACCGAGTTTTCATGATGCGCTGAAACATTTTTGAACTTGCACAATCACCAACCATCCGCCCCGCTTTTCTTTCCTTTTTTTTTTAAATTTTAAATGTATCGATGCCAGACATACTGCAACTTTGTGTCAGAGTTTTCTCACATACAGAGCTTAGGAAGCTGCCTTTAGAAAGCCAGTGCTGAGACGCCACTACACTAAGAAATAATGTTGAGAACTGACAGTCGTTGCTGTGTGGGTTTTTTTCTTTTTTTAAATAGCCATCCAGCCGAGCTAGCTCTGTCATGCTGCTGCGATCTTAGATTTTTACACATGATTAACATACTGGCATGAGCCTTGGAGAACTTAAGATCCTGCTTTTGCTCTGTCTATAGTCCTCTCTGTTTATAATTCTTCAGTAAAGCAGGACTGAGATATTGCGTGGCTAACTTTACAAAGAAAGCACACTGCATCTCTCCATATTTTAAATATTAGGAAATGCTCTTTTAGAAGTTTATATCCGGAAGTCAAACCTATATGTAGTGAAGTGGTGTTTAAGGAGTTAGCAGAGATTCTTTACTCCTCTTCACCCGCTCCTGAAGTTGTACTTCATTAGATGGTATTTAAAGCTTTATTGTGGCTACGTTCTTAAGATTTTAGGCACTTTGAGATTAGGGACATCGGTGATTTCATTGTCTCCTGTTTGAATCGCCTCGGCCTTAACTCTTAATCTCAGACCAGTCGCCTTTTCTTTGCACACGGCCGTCACACCATCTCTCGATATTATGCGAGCACTCGTCTATGAATGTCCATGTTACTTGCTTGATATCTCCCAGCCACGTCACACCAGTTTCTTTTAACCCACAAGAGGGCCAGAATGTATGCTGAATGAACCAGACCACATGTATGTGACTGATGCCTTTTAAGTCATCCTTTCTTTCTTTCACTTCTCCCCATGGCCCTTTCGAGTTTGAAAGGTGATGGAAATGGGTGTTCTTTGCATTTTATATTACCTGTATGAATTTCATGGGTATTAGCTGAATGCGTCCCTTTTTTGTGGTCCTGAGCTTTGAGGAGGAGAGAGGGAGACAAAACTTAAAAAAACAAAAACAAAAAAACATTTTGGGGTGAGTGTGCCTAAAAGGCCTTTCAGCTTCTCGGGATCATGATACAGTGAAAATATTTTGTGGCACATCGTTGGCAGGATATTCCTCCATCGACGTAACTCGCGGTAAAACTCTATTCTCCATGGTGGAGTGCGATGTTTTCTTTTCTACCTGCTCTTTCCATTGTAAACAGCATTAGCGGATCTGTTGTTGCCTCAGAATATTAGATGTGTAACATGCCTTTAAGAGCATCTCTGTGCTTCGACTTCAGGTGGCTTTACCGCCTCAGTGCTGCCTTGCTTTTTGGGCAACTCACCCCATCCTGAGTGAGATGTGATTGCTACTATAGGCTTATACAATACTGTACATAAGAGTTCACTCTGTGAGTGCACATTTGATAAAATTTATTTATTTATATGTAAGCATTTAATAATAAACAATATATTTAAAACCTTGGCAAGACGTGAAATGTCGGGGGTAACGTGGCTCGAGTCCACACATACACACTAGTTTGCAGAGTCTTGCCTGTGCTCTCGTCAGGGAGGGAATATTTTTTAAACAAAGGATGATTCTGTTTTGGGACTTTTTTTGTAAAGATAATCCAGACATCCTTGCATGATGATGTATGGGGTGAGGGTGGGGGTGGGGAGTTACCAGGTTTGGCTGCACTTGAGTTCACTTGGGTTTACATTTGAAATGTGCATGTGTATTTATACACAATCTTCAATAAAGTTGTGTAAAGCTTCCTGTGCTTCGGCCTGGTGGTTCACTTTCTTGACCAGCTTCCATAGCTGCCCCACATCTTTGACTGTATTATTTTATAAATAAGAACAATAATAAAATACAAATCTGTTTGTATCCTTTGCGTAACATAGTTGTCAAATTACCAGATACTTCAGATTCTGGACTGAAATGTATAAAATAACAGGTTTATTTATTCAATACTGTGATTGGTACACATTCTGTTTAGAATTTACATTTATATAGATATTTTACATAGAGATGTAAATGTGTATCACAAACACAATCCAACTCCTCTAAACACATCGCTTTTTCCTACTTTGGGTTTTCTAAATACATTTTGAAATTATAATTAATGCAATGCTGCTACGCTTTGGATAAAAAAAATGGCATTTTAAAAATGTGCAGCATTGAAAGCTGCTCTGGTAGAATAAAAATATGAATCTGAATATTAGCACAACAGGTCGCCTTTAACATCTATGGTCAGGAAAGCATGCTCGGCTCACATCCCAGCAGTAAGTGATCTCACTGGCGTTCCCTAAAGAAGGTGAACATCGCTATGAGCCATATAAAGGAAGGCTGTCATGCTTCCCTTTGTTTGATCCTTTGCTCTCCATCTCCTAGTATGATCTGTGAGCAGGAACACTGTGTTCTCCCCGGTTCCTCCGGGTTATCCGGCCGCTTACAGCCAAGGCGGTTCTACCGAGAAGAGGCTCGTCCTTCTGACCAATAGGAGAGAGGAGGAGGATCGGCTGTGAGCAAAGCGCCTCACTCCGTCAGAGAAAAGAGAAACCCAAAGAGAAACGTGCTTTGCTTGTTAAGATTGGACGTTAGAACGCGCTGACATTAAAGGAGGCTATGAATGACAGGGATGGATAGTCTGAAATCTCTCTCACGAGCATAAAGTTTTCATTTTTCTGGCACTTCACATTTTTAATAGACGACGGCTACAGTCCGGCACATCTTTAAAAACGCCTTCGTCTGTGTTTTACCAGCTGGTGGCGCCCTCTGCCAGTGTGCCCTCTCCTGCTGGTGTTTGGTAAAGCAGTCAGAGGTGGACCTCTGCGTTTTCTCCAATCTCTGGTCGTGGCTACACCCGTCCTGACGTTCCCCGCGAATTTTATCCACGGCGCTCCGCCACATCCACTCATTTTATTTGATTTTTTTTAGTTGGGGGGAGGGGACGCGCACACTACCTGACGTGCTGTCGGAGGCAGAAGGTTAGAGCAAAGCGGGTCTCCTGTTTGGATTCGTACGGCTTTCTGCCCTTTAAACCGCGCGGATGTGATGGCTGGACAACTTTGTGCTCACGGCGCGGAGACCGAAGCAGACAACAATAGGCTCTAATGCAGCCTGCTGCAATTCGGCTGCAAGATGAAGGTCCGCGTGAAGAGCCCGTGGATCGTTTGCGTTTTCTCAGATCCAACAAGTCCGGCAAGGTAAAAATTTAAACAGAATTACAGGAAGTGTTCTCACTTTTAGGTAATCTCTTTCTTTCAAATACCCCCCCCCCCCCCCCCCCCCCAAAAAAAAAAAAATGTATTGCTCTCAGAGCTAAAAAAAAATATATATTTTCGGGGGTAAATGGTTAGTATCGTAGTTTGTGGTGATTTGTGCCTGAATATGTTTTTATATAGCGTGCAGTCACCCATATCGTTCTAATTAAAACAAGATTTAAAAGCAGAATTTCGTGTTTCTCTCTCGCTCTCTCTCCTTTTTTTTTTTTTTTTTTTTAAACATGAATGGCACCGTGCCACTCCACGCGCTTCGCCGCCCTTACCTGCCACATTTTTCCCTCTCTATTTGCTCTTTTTCTTACCACCGAGGTCAACCGAGGAGAGCGTGTGTGCAGGAGATATGGGAAATGTACGGGAGGTGTTTTTTTCCCCTCCTTTCCTACTATGGGTGGGGTTTTGTCTCGCTTTATTGCGGCCCCGTTTTAGGCGTGCGCCATTTTCCGTGCGCTTTTACGCACGGGGACACCAATAAAACTGATAGTCTGATTAAATCTGGAACCAAGAGATTTTCCACAGAAAAGCGCATCCCTGGTGCCAAGTTCTGGCTGAGGTAGTAGTTTGTGCTGTTGGTCGGGTTGTCATATTACCCCTTGCGGAGATGACTGCGCAATCTACTGCCTTGCCGGCGCTGGTGACTTGCAACGAGGGAGCCAACCGGATCGACATAAAAGCCTAAACCCCACTTTACATCGTTCAGAAAAAGAAGTGATGGAATAAAGAAAAAGAAAACGCATGCTTTCAAGAAAATTCAAATACTTGTGTGTGATATAAATGTTAACATTTCTTGAAATAAAGTATTTTTTCCAAAGCTTGCATCACGTGCATTTGTGTATATCTGATTCCAAATCTTGTTATAATTAATGTTCTGCTTAAACATTCTTATTTCTCACGGGGGTGGGGTGTTAAAGCAAAGATGGAATTAAAGATGCCAGTCCCATTAAGTGTCTTAGCAAGCATTTATGGTAACCTAGTGCTGTACCATATTATAAATTGTGTTATAGCTCCAATGCAAAGTAGATATAGGGCCAATTTTGCCGATACCAGTGCTGATACTCGTACTCCCTTAAGAGAACATATTACCCCAATTCTTCATCAGCTTCACTGGTTGCCCATAGAAGCTAGGATAAACTTTAAATTTTTAGTTCTCACATTTAAGTGCATCCATAACCTTGCCCCTCCTTATCTGTGCGATCTGCTTCATATTACCACTGCTTCCTGCTCTCTCAGATCTTCATCTGCCATTCATCTTGTTCTTTCTGCTCGTCTTGTCACTATGGGGAACAGAGTGTTCAGTCGCACTGCTCCTCTGCTCTGGAATTCACTTCCTCCAGTCATAAGAAATATAGATTCCCTTCCCTTATTTAAGTCACAGCTTAAAGCATACTTGTTTAAACTGGCTTGCTCGCTTTAATACAGATCTTACCTTTAAAAAAAAAAATTGTTTATTTTTTGTATTTTATAATAATCTACTGTTTTATTTATATCTTTCTTCTCTTTGTAAGGTGACCTTGGGTTTTAAAAAGGCGCTCTCAAATAAAATGTATTTCTGCTCTTCATGTATTTTAAAACATTTTTTTTTTTGGGGGGGGGGGGGGGGGGGCAGCTTCTGTTTAAATGTGCTGTAGGCGCTAAATAAAATGGATGTGACAGTCAACGCAAAGAATTTTCATAGTGTGCGTTTGAGGTATTTTCTTTTATTATTGCCAAAAAAGTAATTTAATGAATTGGGCTACATACTAAACTTAGAGGATAGAAAAATAGTATCAATCCAATCCACCGATACCAGTGTTGGTATCGATACTGTGGCTATTTGGATCAGTCCGCCCATGTCTACAATTAAGGAGCATTCACTAAAGCAGGACAACCTTCAAGTGCAGTTGTCATCAACACACATCATCGACATTTCCTATTGTGGCAAATCAGAATGTGTGCTGTGAAGAGCAGGCTGTCCTCAGTTCCATGGGAGGAATTATGCACAAGTTGGCAAAAAATAAGGGGAGTGAGTTTTAAACACATCTGACTGATGCATGCTTTGAAATTGGTGTAGTGCTTGAACTCAATGTTTGAACTGTGAAACAGTATTTAGGGAGCTGTGTGAAAATTATTTTTAGGGGCTAGCTGTTTGGAACCCCCTTTATTTGACCTTACCTGTTCATTCACTGTGTGAAATGGTTGAAACTATTGAAACCCAGTTTTTTGATTGGCTGCCCCTATAAACAGAAGGTTAAATAGCAGGTGGGTGGGGCTTATTGTGGATGTCTGCTTAAACTGACACAGAGGGATGGCCAACAAAGAAAAATGAAACCAAGTGTTAAGAGCACTCTGCCTGACAAGGATTCAGTTCAATTCAGTTTTAGTCACATAGCATCAAATCACAACAGCAGTCTCTTCAAGGTGCTCTATATTGTAAGGTAAAGACCCTAAAATAATACATAGAAAACCATCAATCAAACGATCCCTTAACAGCAAGCACTTGGTGACAGTGGAAAGGAACTCCCACTTGACAGGAAGAAACCTCTGGCAGCCGTCTGCATTCATCAGCTTGTGGTGTTGGGAGTGAGATAGGACAAAATACACACTGTGTACGAGAGCTAGAGATGAACAATTATCTACATAGGCCGAGTTCATTAAATAAATTGTTAGCCCTGTTTTATATGCACATCCATCCCTGTGACAGTACATGTATGAGAGAACTTTAAAAAGAATATATTTTCTTTAATTTTTTTTAACGAATGAAAGGATTTTTATGTATTTTAAAGGGTCACCTAGTGACATGCATTGTAAATTAGTTTAGAATGAAGCTGATGTGTGCCATTTGTTTTCACTTTTTTCACTTAGGCAGTCATCAAACATTGCCAATGGTGACAGTATTAAATAAACCACTTACCAGTATATGAACAGTGAGGTCATTCATCCATTTTTTTCCACATTTCCTTTGTGGTCACACAGGAAATCAGTTTGTTCTAATGGCCTTTACCCATATTTACCTCATCAACATTATGAATTGTGTCTGAATGATTGTGCACAATCATTGCACTTACGGTTCGCTGTAAAAATAAATAAATAAAACAAAAATGTCTCATCTTGTTTAGCGTTTCCGGCAAAATGTTTGACATTCAGTGAGTAGTCTGTATTTCCTCTAATGAATCCCTCCGCTGTCTGCTCTCAGAGCCAAACTAGTCCTTTAGTGTCCAGTTGACCGTGTTTGTTAGTTTCTCCCACAAGCAGAACCAAGGGAATATACACAGCAACAACACTGATTAGCTCCTCTGGACTCTCTTTTGTTTCTTGCTCGTTGAGATTAATTTGAACTGAGAGTGCAAAGGTTTGGAAAACTATCGATTCTGTTCACATGAATGTTGAGCACAGCTCCATTTGACTCCTTTTCTGTCTTCTTTTTTTAGTGAGACAAACAACAACTTTAAATTGATCTTCAACATTTATTGTCTCTTTTTTTATTTCTGGAAAAGAAACACTGCAGGTAAACATCACC